ACTTGCCGAATATTTCAATTTCACTAACTTCATAGGGTAATAACTAAATATTGTGGCTAAAGAAAGAAAATAAGAAAATATAAAAAATTGTCAGAGTAGTGCTTAAAAAAAATCTACCGTTAAAAGAAATAAACCATATCTACGAGAAAATTTACCGTCTGAGAGAAAGCTAGGGTTTGAGTCTAAGATGAAAATGATTTTGAAAGTTTTGTCACAATAACTTGTAACAAAATCGTAACCTACGGACTTTACAAAATCGTAAACAAAATCGTAAACTTTACAAAATCGTAACCTACGGGTTCTTATAGGTTTCATGAAAATGGAGGCAGAAAAAACTGTCTTCTTTATTTTTTGTTCAAAGATGGATTTGGTTTTAAAATGAATGTTTTGTAATGAGGTACGCAGGACGGATGGATAAATCTAAAATTATAAACAAATTTTATCCTCATTTTAATGGAAATATATTAATAATATACACAAAAATTAATTTCAATTTTTATTTTATCAATAAATTTTAATAAATATCTGTACAGGACTACAGTTCTAAAAATATGGTAAATAATTACGAATATATTGTTGTTCATCAGTTTACTTATTAAATTCCTATACATATATACGAAATAATTTAAACTACAATATATAAAATGGAAAAAAATAATGAATAATTTTCAATATGTTGATTAATGGTGGAAAATCTTCAATTCAGTCTGATATTTTAGTACGTTCCGTACTAATGAATCACATCGATTTTAAATTATTACTAATTCATACATCTATATCTATATTGGGAGATTATAGATCTCCCTATATGCAACTATACAATATAGAATTTTGTAATATCCATAGTGATTTTTGGTAAACCATAAAAATGTCACTGTTTAAGGAAGAATCGAGTACGACGTACAAATTTTTTTTTGCTATTAATCAATTCCGAATTTTTCATTTTTGATTTAAATAGAAAATCTGTTATTTGTGAAAGACTCATCAAATATAGGTTCATATATTCTTCATCACATATACGGTCATTTGTGTGCATCATTTTAACAAAAAAGGATTTTTAATTAATGGGACCGTTTTATTAATCAAATATTGAAGACGCATGTTGCGCGACAAGTGAAAAATATGTTTCTTATCAAACTCTATAAAATACCGTGGTCATATTGATCATATTTCAAAAAGTTTTATACTAATCCTATTGAATATTTTGGAAACTGCAATATTTTTTTTGAAATTCTCAAAAATATTTTCAATATACAAATGAAATTTATTTAGAAAAACCACAATAAATAATGTTCTATATTATTTTTATGAACTTTAAATAGAATACAGGCAATATTGATGAAAAAATGAGTTTTTTTTTTATTACTAGCGCCAATAATTTTTCAACATCAATATGAAATACTAATGGACTATCTACTTTTCATACAGGAAAACTAAATAATTGCATAGTTTTATATTATTGTACGTCATATTGAAAACATAATATCGAAAATTAAATTTTACAAAAATTTATGTTAACATGGTATAGGAATTCAGGGTCGAAATCATACCGATTCAGGTCGATAAATTGTGAAAATTATCGTACCAAATTGTGAACTCAAACTTCTTCATACAAAAATCACAGTATTGTGTAGCTGCAGAAAAGACACGGATCAGTTTACTTTAAACATCTTAGTTTGAAAACTTCAAAAATTTAACAAGTCAGTACGCCCCTACCTTTATATACACTAAGTGCACTAAATACTCATATTTTTACTGAGTATTACCAGAATTTTTTTTTAATTTAAGCCCGGACTACAGTAGAATAACAAAACTTGAGTATCACTCATTTTTATTCTATTGCACTGGACTACAACATTACAAGTACATAATTTGATACCAAATTATAAATTTCATGCATTCAAAGAGAATTTAACTCAATATTTGTACTTGGACATTTTGAAAAAATACAATGGTGAATCATGTAGATGAAGAAATGCTAATTTCTTGGACCTTTATGCTTGAAAACGACCCAAAACGTACCTCAAGATCAGTTCAAAAATGGTTAATAGATGAAAAAATAAAAACTTTAAATTGGCCCCCAAAAATCCTCGACCCCAATCCCATTGAGAACTTCACTCCCATTGAGTGAAGTGATGTTGACAAAATTGTAAAACAAAAAGAAATTAAATATTTACGAGAATTATTTTAAGAAGTTTAGAAAGGTTGGAAAGCAACTCTTGCTCAAAGGTGCCAGCGGTTGGTGGAGAACATGCCCAGAAGTTATAAAGAACAAAGGCTATCTTACTAAATATTAAATAGTTAATATATGAATACTACATCACCGTGGTTAAAATGCGTGTCTTTTTAGTCGTGGTAATTAGTTGCGGCTTGAATTTTCTTAATATAAATGAATTGCTATATTGATTTTTTTTTAAGTTTATGAAAATTAATTGCAGTGCACTGTATGTACATCTGATTATGACTGGTTTTCTAAAATTTTTACACTATATACCCCCACAAGGAGAAAGATCATAAAGCAAAAAAATAATTAATGAGTTCATTTGTCCCAACTCACAAACATTTTATAAAAACCCATTATTTATGTGTGAATGAAAACACTATTATATACACATAATAAATATATTAATTTCTTCCTTACTACATTAACACACATCTATACATAATAATGTACAATTTTAACAGTCTATTAAATTTCTACAATTACAATAAAATTATTTGTTTTCGGACAGTAAAATTTATAATAATTTGCTAATTTTTTTTTTATTTAAATTATTAAATCACAGACATACATATATGCATACAAACATATTTATTTAACATACAAACATAGATACATATTTCTCTAAATTATGCCAAAAATTTTAATCGAATATGTCGAAAAGTATTCTCAAAATGTCATTGGCAATCAAAATTCCTTAAGAAAAATATTTAGAAAATGAAAACAAAATATTTTAAAAATGAAAATTCATTGGCCAACTAATTTCATTTAATTGTTCGTCTGGTCTGCGTTTGTTCCATTTTACAAATCAAAAAATATTAATATCGCGTACATTTACAGCAATGTAATCATTTATACGTCATGTAATAATAAAGCTAAAAGTTCCAAATTGCATTAAAGTAGAATAAATCATGGTTTTAAATTTTATTCAGATTCTGGCATGCCTAAAATGAAAAATTTTTAAAATATTACTATAAAATTTGGAGATATAAAAAACTTGGCTGTGACTTTAAGCATATCACGGCGGCGTCTTTATAGTTTCAATGTTTTTTTGTAGCTCGAGGCGATGTTGTTTAAAAATAATCAATATGGGAATTATGGAAAGAGATGATTTTATAAGTTGAAAAATATTAACAATAAGATTTGCAAAATTCCAGCTACAATTACGGCGTCATGTAAAAAAAGATGTGCTTACCACAATTCATTAATTTTTTATTTTACTTTTAAAAATAAAATAGTCAAAGTTAAATTCTATTTGGTCTACATTATAATCTTGACAAAAAATAAAACAAAATTTCATTAGATTCATAAATTTAATTGAATCATTAAAAAAAAACTAATAAAAGTTAAGATATTTCGTTACTAACTGACACATACACATTTTACGCAAATCTACGCAAGCAATGAACAAACTTATATCATATACACGGTATGAGTCATATCCTAAAAGAATAAATTATGAAATTTTGAAAATATGCTCTTCAAATTTGAATTCTATGCACACTTATTATGTAGATTTATGTATTTGCAGTCGAAGTTTTTGAATTACACATCTCAATCAAGAGTTCTACATAATTCATTAAGAGCTCTGACGTTACATTTACATAAATTTCTTCAGTATAATTTCTCAAAAAAAAATGTAGATTGGCTTATTTTGTTAACTGAAGTGTTATTATTTATCACGCAATTTTGAAACATAACCTAAATATATTATAACATACCACTTGAGATCTAAACAGAACTAACGTATAGAATTAAAATCGGGTTCAATTCAGAATAGTATTCAAACATTAGAAGTTAAATTTTCAAAATTGCTAACTTATTAAAATCGATGTGAGATTCAGAGTTGAAAACTGAGAGTTTAAAAGTTATTTACAGATGTCGTATTTGAACTTGAAGTCGAAATCTAATTTGAAAGTTAAACAAACCTGAATAGTGTTCAAATTTATATAACAGAATGAAATGTACTATTTACAAACACTTAATTTTATTCTACTAACTTGATTTTTCATTTTATTTTCAACCGAATCATCATTCAAGTTTTTGTTTTTTTTTTATTTTTAATCAATATCATTTTCGTTGTCCATTTGATATCATTGTTTACTTTTGTTGTACGTATGTACAATAAAAATTCTTTTGCTCTCTTTTGTTTCTTTTTTATATTTCATTCTTTCGTTTTGCTTATTTTTGGAAGTGTGCCAATTCAATGAAATTTTTGACATTAAGTGCATTTATTAAGAGCTAAAATAATAACAAAAGAAAGAGAGAATTTTTTTAACAGAAAATATATACACACATTCAAACATACAATACAAAATTCAAAAAGAGATCAAAAACAAAATGAACAAAGTAAAACAAGAAATGAAAGAAGAAAAAGAGAAAAGTGAAAGGAAAAATGCATAAATAAAGTTGTTATACGCATTTTTGCAATATTCAACAACATAATTTACAAAAATAAACGTATGTACACACCACACACAAAAATATTACAACATACAATGTCTATGCTTTATTAAAGTGACAAATAAGTGTAGTGTGATTGCGATTGTATGTAGATATGTTGTGTGTATAACACATAAAATAAGATCACATAAATTAAGTTGTTCGATTAGGCATTTAAATATAAAAAATAAAGAATGAGAAAAAATATTTTATAAAAAAAAATTTTTGAGACTTATGTTGAGTTTAACACTGTGGTAGAGAAAAGAACAAACGGTAAAATTGTTCTACATTAAATTTTTTTAATTTATTTAATTTTTTTTTCTTTCATTATTATTACCTATATAACATTAATTTTATTTCGTTTTTATATTCTTTTTCAATTTTAAAGAAAGACTTTTTGAATTTTTCACATTTTTAATATTTTTTTTTTAGTGTTGTCTTTTCTGGTTCTTTTTTTTTTTGTCTTTCGTTCTTTAATATTTTACCGCTTGTTTGTGTTTATATTTTAGCGGTTTTATTTGTATAGCACCGCATTTTATTTTTCAATTTTATTTTTTTTGATTTTTTTGGTTTTTTTGAGTATTTTTCGATTTTGTTCTACAGTTGAGATGCTGTTCTACAATTCTACAATGTTTGTTATTGTTATTATTTTTGTTTTTAATGATGCTCTGCCTGTTTGAATATTTATTTTGTAAACGAAACACGAAACGGCAAAAATAATGAAAACAATAATGAAAAATGTAAGAAAAATAAATATTTTTTTTTTAATTTTTTGTTTTTTTTTTTAGTAAAAATTGCAAATCATTTTTAGTCTTTTTTTTCGTTGCTTTTTTATTTTACTGCATGCTTTTGTTTTTTTTTACATGTAAATATTTTTAAATTTTATTATTGTAATTATAGCGGGCAGTAGTAACATTAATCACAGGGAAAGCAATTTATACCGTTCGTATGTGTATGTTATTAGATACGTGTTTTATGTATTTAGAGGAGCCCTAGTCGAACAAATTTGTTTTTTTTTTTTTTGTTGATTAATATCTTGCAATTTATTGTCTGCGCCGCGAGAAAATGTTTCTTTTTCAAAAATCTTTTTGCACCCCGATAAAAAACAAATTCTTTTTCGTCTTTTCACTTATCGACGCACCACTTCTTACTGATGGCGTTGTCAAAATAATTTTTGAGACAAAATTAATAGAGAACAAAACAAAAAATTCTGTTCTTATTTTTGTCTTTTGATTGTTTTTTTTTTTTTTTACTTTTAATATAAAATAAGAAAATTTTCATTTTTCTGAAAAAAAAAAAAATCATTTTCTTATCTTTTTATTGTCGTTTTATATTTTTTATTTAATAAATATAAAAAAAAAATTTATAAAGAGGTGAAAAAACAATAAATTTTTTTTTTTATTTTAGATTTTTTTTTTTGCTTAAGATTACAGTGTGACATTTTGGTGACTGCGAACATAAAAATTATGATTTTATTTTATTAGGAAAAAATCTCAACTAATCAAATAATCCAAAATAAAAACAAAAAACAACAGAAATAGCAAATTATTATTATAGGAGAGAAGAAAAAAAATTGAGTGTTTTCATCTTTTTTATTAGTGATAATGGGCGCCAAAAGTAATATTGTCTTAATCGGTAGCTATAAATGATACGCACACTTTTTTTTTTTCTTTTTGCTTTTTATTATTTTAATTTTCTTCTATTTCAAACATACGATACCTAAGTATATACCACAGAATAATATTTAAGCACATTGAAAAAAGAAAAAATAATATGTAATTTTTATTTACTTTGTTGTTATACGTTAGCTGTCTATCATTTTGAAATTAGAAAGTATGTGAATTGTAATTTTATATGAGTTGATGAGTAACTGTGGTGAATTTCAACAAATTCACCACGATTCAAAATGGCTGTGAATTTCAAAAAATTCACCTCAATTCAAAATGGGGGTGAAATTTAACAATATCACCACAATTCAAAATGGTGGTGAATTTCAACAAATTCACCTTAATTCAAAATGGAGGTGAAATTCAACAAAATTGTAAATTTCAACTAATTGTGCATTCAACATACTCAAACAACACGAAATTAAAGAAAAACTAACATTAACACAATTTTGTTGGAATGTTATGTTTTATAATTTGTTCTTATATAATTCATTTTATTCATTAATCAGTTTTGAATAAGAAAAATTAAAATTAATTCTTATACCATAACCCATACAACAGGTAGTCGTAAAACGTGCAAAATTCACTGATATATAAAATATTTCCATTTTTGTCAATATGATGGAGCTATTCTCAATTTCCAATGCTCAAATTTGTACATAGAATTTCTAATTATTTCCTCTAGAAAATATTTATATGCTATTGTGCAAAAAAAAGTGTTGGTGAAATATTTTTTTTTATTTTCAAAAAAGAAAAATAGAAAAAATCCTTAATAACAAACCTTTTACTTTTATACTAACTTGTTCAATATTTTCCAAAAAAAAAAATTCTTTTTCACCTTGGCTATCTATTTGTCAATCAGTCGTTCCTGAAATTTAAACTACAATATAATTAAATATTGTGATAAATAAAATAAAAACTAAATGTAAGCAATGTTTTTCTTAAAAAAAAATTTTTTTTTTATAAAATGCTAAATTTTTAATTTATGGTAAAGATCTTTTAATATTTGATATTTTGTTAGAATATTTTCCTTTAGCTTTTTATTTTAATCTATTTAATGTTTTTAATTTATAATCTAGCATTAAATTATAACTTATACCATTGAAATACGAAAAAAGTTTATTTAAAAAAATAAAATCTTTAAAAAAAATTTTCTGGCTGACCGTGATTTAATTAAATGCACGTGTAATATTAAAAATATTGATAAATACTCTCTTGAATTATGGAAATATTAATATTAAGCTAATAAAGAAGAGAGTCGATAATTCTTCAAGTATTCTTTAAATTTAACATTGTGTAACACGTGAACTCTCTTAGTTTTCAATTTAAAAATTTATATGTTTAAGGTTTTTATGAATTATGAGTCATATTGTCCAGAATGCCCAAAACGCAACAAATCTCCTTGAGCAACAAATTCGATAAGTTTACATGCTTCAATATAAATGCACTGACTTCCTGCAAATACACTAATCGCCTCTGGAGATTATCTTTTGATATTCATAAATTACTTGAAATAATTTTGATTTGTTTCATGTTTAAAATATAATCTTTGTAGAGCTGCAAGTGAGTCTAAATCCATAAATTTTATTGTCAGAATTTGAGAATAAAACTCATTTTTAGTTTTACTTATTTCCTTTCTTTTTTTTTTCAAAAAATATATATATATTTTTTTTTTGATTTTTGTACAAAGTCTTAAAAATTTCTTTTTCTGTTTTATTTTATAAATAAATAAATAATTTTCAAAAATATATTATTATAATAATAATAATTATAATTATTTATATAAGGTAATTACGTAAGGTATATATATTTGAGGTAATATCGGAAATGTTATTAAAATTTCGTTGTCAATAAAAAATTTCGAAAAATTTTGAATACATTATATAAATTGTATGTATGTAGATTAATCAAACAAAGACATTGTGAGCTCATATACATAATTATTGTTATACATATTGAAACAAGCACATTTAAAATAATAACTGTTATACAAGTATAATTTTTTTTCTTTTTGTTCATATTTTTGTTCTTTTTTCTTTTCCATTATTTCAAAATTCAGTCAAAACTAAATAAATAATTTTATAATATTTAAAACATAATTGTATTGTAAAATTAAAGTAATTATCTTTTTCTATAAGTAATAATTATTATATATAATCTAAAATGGCATCAGAAATGCATTAAAACATAATTTTAATTTAATTAAATTAAATTGAGTATTAAATACCTTGAGTATATCAATTTAGTTCTAATGCACTTTTCGTTGTCACCATCTATATTGTAATTAAATTAATATTTAATAGATTTTGATTTTACAAAGTAAAAATCTAACAATAATTAATCTAATTTCATTTAACCTAAAAAAAAAATATTATTTTTATATATATATTATAATAGGGCTTATATACATTTATATTTTGTTCGATTATAAAACCTATATACATTATTTTATAGGAATTTTCCGTTCTGATATATTATCATTACTTTCATTTTCATTACTATTATCATTTCCATTATTATTATGAATACTTTCTTCTAAACTTTCTTCATAAAATGATGGTGATTGTTGTTCAATATCAAAACTTTTAATATCATCATCATCATAATAATTATTATAATTATTTTGTGTAAAAATTTCAGCATCTGGATCAATTTTAACACCATTCTTTTGTGCAATATAATTAACATTAATGTCATTTGATAAATCAATTGGTATACTCTCATATGTATCAATATCATTATCATAATTATTATCTTTATCATTATTATAATCTTCTGGTGTTAAATACCATTCATTATTTAATGTTTCATATTTTATATTATCATATTTGTTATTGTTACTATGTTCCTCCTCTTCAGAACTATAAAAATTTTCACGACTACGATGATAATAATTTTCTTTTTTATCTAAATTATCATTTGAATTTATGTTTTCTTCATCATTTGATTCATTATTTATAATTGTTGTTACCATATCACTTTCATTTTCATTAGATTCAGTATTTTCATTTGTTTCTGTATTATCATTATCATTTTTGGCATCATCATCATCATCAGCATCATTATCATCATCATCAATATCCATATCGTCATCATCATCGGTATCATCAGTATCATCATTGTCATCATTATCATCATTTGAATTATATTTTGAATTGACATTTGCTTCCGTATAATCCATATCACCTTTAATATTTTTATTAGTTTCCTCTATATTCTCATCATTATTATCATTTTCTCCAGCTACATTAATACTATCATTTGATAAATTCTTTATATTAATTATATTATAATCATTTACAGTAGCATCATCATTATGATTAATAAATTCATTTTCAATATTATCATCATTTTTTAATGTTGTTATATAAGTAATTGAATCAATATCAGGCTGTTGATCTCCGGCCAAACTTTCTGTTGGTATTGTTTCATAATATAATGGTTGTATATCTTTTTTTGAAATTTTATATTTTACATTTTCATTATCTGAAATATCGGATATTTCATCTTGAAGTAAATTAATAATAGGCTCTGTTTCTGTTTCTGTATAATTAGCTGTTGAATTCTATATATTACAATAATAATAGAAAAAAAAATATATTCATTAATTAAAAATTTATTTTTTTTTAATTTTATTCATTTTAAAAATTTATTTTCAATCATTAAAAAGTTAAGGTATTGTATAGCATGTAAATTACGTCCATTTTTTTAAGTAAAACTGTCAAACGGTTATTATTGCCATATACACTCATTTTTCTCATTTTTTAAATTGGCTAAAATTTAAGAGAGAAGCTAGAAAGAATGATAATGCATGCACAAGAAAGAATTTTAAATTTGTTAATATTAAAAAGTAAATTTACAATTTTTTACAAAATTTTTACAAGTTTTTACAATTTCTTTACTAATTCTGTTCTTCTTTGCAATGAATAAATAATTATTTCAATATAGAACAAGTATAACAAGTATTACAAGAATATCAACTAGTTTATAATTATTTATAACAGTTATTTTAGAATTTATCAACATCAATTTACATTTCAAGTATTGAAATAATGTAAATTTTAATAAAACAATCCGCAGATCATCTTTATTCATTATACGTCAAAAAAATAAGAGAGAAGATTTTACTGACAGAATATTTTACATAATATTGACTTAAGTAAGTAAACAAAAGGGGACTAAATGAAAACAAAAATATTATTTTTTATACAATATTTTAAGAATTCATAAATTTTATATTAAAAAGAATTTGCATAAAAATAATTTGAAATACAATAATAATTTCTTGCAAATATATATGAAAGTGTTGCATTAATCATCACTAGATGGCTTAAATGTTAACAATTCATAATTTAACTGAAAATTTTATACTAAAGAGTACCGCGTTCGAGTGACATTAAAAAATTTATTCTATTATTATAATTTTTAATCGCATCTCTTTTCATATTTAATTAAGTGTTATACTGTATAACTCTTATATAATAGAAAATTTTTGATTGATTTTCAAAAAATAATTAAAAAAAATAAGAAAAAATAATCTATGATTGTTTTATTACTAAACGTAACCCTTACTCTTCTCCCATTTTGTATTCTTCTTTCTCTTTTTTTTTTTTCTCTCTTATTTAATATTTTTGCATTTAAAGATTATAAAAGAAAACTCTTAAGAGCAATTAAACTTAAACAATAAAAATAAATAAAAAAACAAGAAGCGGTTAACACTTTATGCAACATGTTTTATGCAATAGAACAGTAATAAAGAATAATAAACCAGACATTTAATTACACTTAATAAAAACAAAAAATAAAAGAAAAATAACTATGGGATAGAGTTGATATAAATAATATAAGTATGTGTATATAGAAATGGAAATAACAAAAATTTTATTAAAAACACAATAAAAAAACGAAAAAAAAAAATATAAAAGTGTGGACTCAAAACAGATTCAAAAATACACGCAAAAGGATATAAGAGTTTTTTTTTTCCTCTTTCTGCAAAAACACTCTGGGTCACCCAAAGGTAATCAGAATGGGAATAGCAAAGGGGAATTATCCTGGAAAACTTTGAGATTTTAAGAAGAAAAAAATTAATAAAATCATTTTATAGTTTAATTATTTGGAGGCAATCATTTGCTTATGAGCCTAAAAATATGCTAACTCACTTTAATAAATTTTTAATATTTTATGATCGAATACTTAAATGGTGTATGTAATGACAATTTTAATTGTCACAAAATTTAGTTTTAACAATTTTTCAAAAATTTTCTATATATAGGAATTCTTTCATACATTCTTCTCCCGGTTTGAGGCTTTGATATTTACAACAATTTGAAGTGCGTTAACGCATTAAAAATCCACTGACAGAAAAATAAAGAGTCATCTTTAATAATGCAAATGACACTTAATCATGAAATTATATGACAAACATTTTAAGATTATTTTCCACTAATTTCATGTAGGTATTTTTCATTCCTAATTCAAAAATTTAGTGAAATAATCCATGTTATTTATCATTATGTTTATTCCATAACTCTCCCAAAATACAATTACATAGGCATTAACACATTTCATACTCCTTCATCTCTTTCAGCATCAATTTTTCAGCATTACAATAGAATTGCGGGATTTATTACACCACTAAGTTTCTATTTATGACAAATAATAAAAAACTGCAAAAGCAATAATAGCTAAGGAATTTTATCAAGAGAATCAAAAGCAAAAAAAAATTAGAAGGCGCTAACGGAGAAAACTCTTTTAAAATGATAAGAAAAAGAATTTTAGATAACTTCTTTTATTTATTTTTTAGCTTCTTTTTTTTATATCGTATATCCTTATACTCTCGCATCTATATATTATATATGTCTATCGCATCTATATACGTACATATAACAGTATATAACAGTATATTATTTAATAGATATTATAATTTGAAAATAAAATGGTCCATTATAAGTTGGTCTGTGTCTCTAAGGAAAATTTATCTGATTCAAAGAAATTTATATTTATACACATACAAGTACATATATATATATGGCAATACTTTTTTAAATGCTCATAAAATAGGACAGCAAAAAACAAATAGCATTTTTTTAACTTGTTATACGTTATAATATGTATATGTATATGCGTCACATTGTTTTTGTAAAATTTGAAACACTGTGTTTAATTAACAAACTCAAACTATAAAATATATGTAAATATCCTGCGGGTCAAAAACAAATTTAATTTGTATTAAATAAATTTTAAGAAAATAATAATTTAATTTTGAGAAAAATTGTATTAAAAATATTAATATATTTAAAATCGTTTTAATTGATTTAAAATTTTAAACGAATTTAAGAGTTTTTCTCTATTTTCAAAAAATTTTCTATAAATAATTTCTTTTATATGAAAATTCATGAAGTGAAACTCAACAAGTGTGAAAATTTTTCAATATCTTTAAAAGTTAACAATTTTAGAATTTAATCGGAAAAGTTTTTTGGAAAAAACGTATTATATACATTGAAATTGTATCTCCAAGTTAATGAAAATTTCAAAGTTCATTGATTTTCATGTAATAATTTTATTCCAATCGTTTATTTTTATATAAACTAGAATATAATATTATCTATTTAAAAAATTAATCGCGCTTGAATTAAATATCGTTTGTTTTCTCTTTTTACCATTTATTTAATGTATTTATTAAAATTGATGAAATAATTAAGGTTAAAGTTAAAAATTTTATAAGAATATACAATTTAATACAAATGCGAAATAATACAAAATTGAAATATAACATTATGTATGTATAATGACTTTAAGTTCTTTACAAGACCTTTCAAAAACTGTTTATTTTTTTCGAAACGGAGTTTATAAGCAAAACAACTTAAACAAGTAGAATTTTCGTGAAAATTTGTTAACATCACTGTATTTCGGAAACCCTTCAGATTTAGCACCTATTCCAGAAAAAAAGGTTTACCAATTTTTGACCTTCTAATCAATGGTATGTATTATTGTATACCTTTCTGAATCACCGTGTATATAAATTTTGCATACTATATAAAGAGTTTTATAATAAGATTTCTGGTTTCGCAAAGTGAAATCAATGAATACGTTAATTAATTTTTGAAATTAAAATTCAAAGTAATTTATTTAGAGTAATGAAGAATATCGTATTTGCAATTGCACAGCTCTTTTTAATTATATTAAACTACCAAGAATTAAATATATAAATTACAAATTAAATTTGCCATACTCATATTTTTTGTTCTGTGCCTACCTATAAATTATTGAACAACAATAATTTTAACTATCTAAGATATAAAGCATGATCATCCTGTATATATGTTATTTTGAATATAATTACAGCATTACAATTAAAATATGTAATTAGACTTCAAGAATCAAATTTTAAATAATTGTTATATAATATCTTAATAATTTATAGACCACATCTAAATTATTTATTAAAAAATATCTAAAATAATTCCATGCAATCTTCAAAAATATAAGTAGATAAAGCTAAAATATTTATATATATACATATGTATGTACAATAAAGAAAAAGCAATTTTCAAAGCAAAAAAATAAATTCCTCATGCCACAAACTAAAAGTACATTTTTTAAAGGATTTCATCATATAACGACTCTTAAAAACGTTCTTCTAAACAAGGAGGCGGCAATGGTAAAACCCTTTTCAATATTTTTATACATTTTTAAATATTATATACAAATATAAATTTCCTTATATATACATATATATATATAGAGTTATTTCATTTCACCAAAACTATTTTTTAAATTAATATTAAAATAAAACATTATTAATTATTTATATATATATTTTTATATTTTATTTATACAATAATTAAATTGAATATATATTTATGCTTTTTTTTTATTGTTAGTTTCACTTTCTTATATAACTTTTACAATAATATTTACATCATTTTATATATATTATTATTATTATTTTAAAATATTAATTAATTAATTAATTAATTGTTCCAAGACAATGAAAACAAAAAATAAAATAATAAAAATATAGAAAAAAAAAAGCATGATAAGTTTTTTTAGTTTAATTTTTAATTCTATATACAATTGTAATTGTATATATATATAGATAAAATATATATAATTAATTTGTTATAAAATTGATTTTGAGAATAAAATTGAAAATTATACAAAATAATAGAAGAATATTTTCATTTTTATTTTTATTTTTTATATAAATTTTTTATTATTCTGTTATTAATATAAAAGCAAATTTTGTTTAAATTCTAAAATGGACGTTTTTAATTTGCGTTACTCTTTCTTTTTATTATTATTATGTAATTTTATTAATTCTTTATTCTATTCATAAAATATTATATAAGAAGAAAGAAAATGTTAAATATTATTATTATTTATTTTTGGTTTATTGAATTAATTAATGAATTCTTATCACAATAATATCCTTTAATATCCTTTAATTTACAAAAAAAAAAAAGATTTTGAAAAACGTTAGTCAATAATTTTATAAAGCAAAAATAAAAAACAAAAAATTCAAGTAAAAAATATTTAAAAATTTTTTTTAATCTACAAAAAAAGCACTTAACCCGAAATTTTATTGCAATTAATAAAGGAATAAAAAGTTAATAATATTGTTAAAATGCAAAAAAAAAAACAAAAAAAAAAGGCAAAGGAATAAATTTATCCTTTCTGATTTTTTCTATTATAAATAATAATATTTTCATTTTGAAATTTAAATTGTAATTAATTAATTATTAGAGAAAAATTATTTTTTTATATAGATTAATAAAATCAACTTTTAGTTGATTTCTAAAATTTCTTAAAACAGGATTATTGGTTCTTTTCTTATTTTCTCTTCATTTTTATAATTTTAATAATATTTAAACTTTAAGATCTGACCTTCGGTGAATCAATTTCATTATTAAATTCTGGTTCAGCTGTTGTACCTTCAGCTTTTGGTTTAACTGTTTTTTCACCATCATCATCATCACCATTATTATTAATATCAGAATTAATTGATGAAATTGTTGTTGAATCATCTTCTAAATCTAATGGTCTTATATGTACAACTCTTACTTTAACAATTTCATTACCATTTTCATCTTTATCAACATAAACGGTATTATTAATTTCAACCCGATGTCCATTAATAATCTAAAATGTGTAAAAAGCGTAAAATATATATTTTAATATTATAATTATGAAATAATATGAAATTTATTATATTGAAAATATCATATCGATTGACAGGATTCATGCGACCTTAGGTAAATCACTAAAATAGAAAATTTATTTGGCTTTTAAGAAAAATTAAAATTTTTTCGAAAACAAACGTGACATTTTTGTTCAAGTAAAATAATTACGCACTATAATAAAATTATAATTTTTGACATAATTGATTAAAAACTTTAAGTCAACTGAAGCGACATCTCGCAAATATTAGATCAAAAATAAAGTTTCAAAAAATTAAATTAGTTTTTTCTCGCTAAAACATTTGAAAGTTTGAATATTACAATTTACATGTTATAGCTTGAAGTTAGTCGACTTAATGTTTGCACACTCAATTTCAAATTTTTAAACTTATTAAGTAAATGGGGTGGTGAGATTTGAAAATAATGATAAAATTCATGTTATTTTAATAGTTTAATAAGTAGATACAGAAAACATTTTAATTTTTGACATATAATAACCGTATAAAAATCAAGTGTTAAATAATTTATATAAAATTAAGTTACAATCTCGTAAATAAACTAGAAAATTTCAATTCAATTGATGCTTAAAAAATCGTCAATTCAGAACATTCAATTGATGGTTGTAAAATAATTGTGTGAATTTACTTGTATCATTTTATACATGAACTGATATATGTATGTACATAGACAGCAATCTCACACACGAAGTTTAGTGAAACTTATTACAACTTAACACATTAATTTTTTTATTTCTTCAAAATATTTTTTAATTATACATTTAATTAAACTAAAAAAAAAACAAACAAAATATACCAATTAAATATGTACATAATATATTAAGGTCATTTCAAAAACAAATTGAATGATTCGTCAACAACATTGCGATTATTCAAGTGCAACATTTTCTTTCTTTTTTTAAGAATTTCCTTTAATTAACATAATTGTTTTTTTTAATGCCACCACAAATTTTTAATAATAGTACTTTAAGCAATTCATTTCCAAAAACAAATTCTAACAAAATTAAAAATTATGCCAATCATGATTTTGAATAATTTTTCCGTATTTTTATAAAGTACATACTTCAAGAACTTAAACAGGGCAGTATTTTAATGTTAATGATACAGGAAAGAGTAAATAAACTCATAGATGTGTAAAATTTTATTAAAATATTAATTGGACATGCTTAGTGGAAACCATACTCCAAAATAATTAAAATAATTAGTATTTCTTCTCTTATATACAAAATTAAAAAAAAAAAAAACATTTTCAATAATAAATTAATAATAATTAATTGGTTTTACCTTTGTTTCGGATGTACTATTTGCTTTCGATGGATCTAATTCGAATGTATCAGCAGCTTCAAGGAAACGACCTAAAAGTCTTTCACGAATAGTTCTGAAATAATCTGAAAATTAAAGAGTTTTTTTTTTAAATCATAATTTTTAAAAAGGTTATAAATTAATTTTTTGTTCTTAATACACATTATATAAAAGCGGCTAGCAGGTGGCGCTAAATACTTGAGATTCTTAACTTTTTCAATATTGTCATATTGACATTATGTTCATTAAATGTCACATACATCAGTTGTTAACTAAACATATATATTTTTCATTTTATTCACAGAAGCAGTAAAAAAAATTTTAAGATTAAATAAATTAGCTTATTTAATAAACTTAAAATGAAGATTTTTACAATTAATCCTATGGATAAAAAAAAAGCGCAGTCGATCTTATATAAAATTGCAGCCATCGGGGGAAAAAAAAATTATAGTACTTAATGCTAGAAATGCAAAATTTTTCACAATAATTACATTAACACAGAGTGACTAATTACAAGAAGGCATAAATACCTCCTACAAATAGTTTCTTTTTTCAAAAAGTTGTGAAGGAAAAGAGTAGAATGGATTAGAACCAGTAATGTTGAAATCTGAATTATTTTTATAGTAAAAAACTAAACAAATTTTTTTTAGGAAACACAGAGCTAAACTACCATTGATTGTAAGAAATTTTGTACAAAAATGGACATATTGTCGTTTATATTGTGCCTGATTATACTAAAGGCTTGTTGCAAACTTAATGTATACATTAATAAGTAATTTTAATCAATTAAATATGAACATATAACGTCAGATATCCGATAATTTCATCATTTTTAAAATTATTTAATTAGCTACTAAAAATATTTAAATATACAAAGTTATTTAATTCCGAGATAGACCTTGAAATACCTATGTATTATATGTATAATGTATTATTAAAAACTTTGCATTGTCTTATACTATTATTAGGTACTATACAGAAGGCAAAAATGATAGTTCTTGTGTTATTTACCTACATAATTTTATAAATTTTTTTTGTTTTTTCTTGACATGAGAATGGTATAAACAAATTATAATCTTCTAAAGAATTTGAACTCAAATTATTTTATCAAATGAAGCAACAAAGTCAAATAGAAAGAAAAATTTTTCAAAATCCCTATATACACCTCTTTCTCTATATAATATAAAATATTTTTGTCGTATACCATCATTTTTAAATTCTTTTCCACCCGATTTAACTTGAAAAAATCAAAAATTTTCCCACTTTCATAAAAACAAATAAAACAAAAATTTTTGTTTTAATAATAAGCGATTTTTACTCTATATTTTACAAAATATTTTCCATTCATATTAAATATTTTTTCTTTTCACTTTTATTAACTAGCTTACAAGCTATATATAATTTATTTATTCATGGTGTATTTTATAATATTTTTTACCCTTATAAAAGGTATAAACTTTTAATAGGTCTATCGTTTAGAAAATTATGTAACTATAATACTTATCTTTTGTTGCCCCCATTTACTAACTATTTGAATATATTTTGAAAATGCAAAAAACCGAGACAAAAAGAAACAAGATGTTATTTTTAATAGCATTATAAAATTAACATAAAACATATAAGTATATATATATTTATTTTTTAGGCTAAGGACCTAATAATTATAAAAAGTGTATATGTACCTAAATACCCTTAAACTACACATTATTTAGTAATTATAGTTTAATAATATTTAAATCTATCTTCAATACCAACATAAGACCTTGCTTTCTCACATACAAAAAATTTTAATATAAAAATGCAAAGATAATTTATACGTATATATATATACATATATGTTAACTACAGAGCAAGAACAAATATTTGGTATGTACATTTTTGGTATGCATGTAAAATATTTTAACTCAAAATATAAATATAACATGAATACATGTATCTAATATGTAATACAAATAGCTAATATAAGTAAGTAAACACTGTGAAAGGAAAACTATATACACACACTGACACCTATAAAAAATGTATAGAGGAAAATGTAAAAATAAAAAAAAAAGACACCAACAATAATCATAATGAAAAACTAAAAACAAAAACCAAATACAAGCTGAACAATTACTTTAATTGAATATAATAAAGTGCATAAATGACGAACTGACGAGTACCTACATACCATACAGACGTTCATATAACACTTTCATAGTATTCATTACAAAAAAATTCCCAACTTTATTTTGAACTAAAAAAAAAACAAATGAAAAAAAAATTTTAACAAAGAAAAACTGAAAGACCATCGGGATTGTCTGTAAAGATATAACAATGTCTGTACAATTGTACACTTACTTATTCACGTGCAAATATATAGTGAATGTAGGTGTTTTATACGTGTAGTACAAATACATACATTTTTTTTATTGTTTACTTTTCTGCTCTGTCTCACTCTGTCTGATTTATTTTCTATTCGATTTTTCTTTTCTTTTCTGTTTTTTTCCCCCCTTTTTTATTGTTTTGTTATACGGCGAGATGATAATTTTGGTGTCATTTAAGTTAAAATATTCTTTTTATTAAATTTTATCACTTTTTTCCGTTTGTCATATTATTATATATACATACGTATAATTTCCATATACATATATATATGTAAATAATTTTTTTATATTTTTTATATTAAATTTATCTATATTAATATGACACGTTCATAATTAGGTAATTTGAAAAATTTTTGGCTGAACGTATGACATACAATTTTATACGCAAAAGGAAAATATTGGAAGCAATTTATTAAATAAAGCGCTTGTTTCACCTTTTCACCAAGGGACTCCAAAATTCAATTTCATCTATCGGAAAAAATTTATTTTACAAGGTTTTTTGCTTACTGCCAGTTCAGTAAATAAAATTATTACACAGTTTCTCCGAATCTGAATAGTTCTATATTTCTATTGATTTCTAAATTCTATTGATTCGAAGTTTCTAGAGCTACTTAAATTCATTATACGGCATTCATAATCGGGCGAGAGCGAAAATAATTAAGAGACAACAACCTCATATTTCGAAAAGATATTCTAACCAACTTAATTAAAATTTTGAATATTTCGGAATATTTTCGGGATATTTCGGGATATTTCGGAATGTTTTGAATAATTTTCAGAAATTGAGTACTACGGTTTTTATTATCCCAATACCTATAATTTTTATTAACTCCTGTTAATTTTTCTAGCAATAAAGCAAAATTTAAGGAACCATACTAGAATGTATAAGATAACTAGCTTTTAATAAATTTTTCGTAAACTTTTTAACATATTTTCGTATTGCAGTACATTTCAAATGTACATACTTATATTAAAACGAAAACACCTATAAATATGCAATACATGTATATACATAAGTAAATTTTATTGAATTGAATTTATAATAAAAAAAAAGAAGGAAAGCAAAAATAAAAAAAATGGTTTTTGGCGTTGAAAATCGTCTGCCCGCATTTTAACATTATAAGCTCTGCTGCACTACTTTAATATTACAATTTTAAACTTTTTTTCTCTTGGTTTTTTTGTTTTAATTTCATTCTTCGATTAGAATGGGTAGAAAATGACAAAAAAAAAGCAACAAAAACAAATAAAACTGCGTTGCTGCGATACGATATTCTTGGCACCAAAAAAAAAAAATTCATTTTTCCTTTTTCTTTTTTCAGTTTTTTTAATATTTTACCGCGCCAGAAACCATTGCAATGCTCTATGACATATTCAATTCGAAATATTTCGTATACGTCGGATACTTTTGTAAAAATTTCATACTTTGTATATATGAAAAGATTTGAGTAGAAAATATTTTCACCATTAAAAGAAAAAAATTTTTTCAACTATCAAAAGTTTATCCAGAGTATTTTGTACATAATTTTTTATTTCTAGTAATCTACAAGCTTATTTATGTTAAATTTCAATTATAATGAAAAATAATTGGTCTGCATTGAAAGTAAATTAGGTAAGAGCGCATCTTTATTTTATGTATTATACAAAGTTTCATTTATTTTTAAAATTAATCCATATACATACATATATCGCCTGTAGGCTCTTTGATATTAGAGTACGAAAGTGATTATTAAATTGTAACTAAAAATTGATGTGAAACTAAAGTTTCAAAATGCCACATAACTTTGAAAATTTGTGACATTCTAAAATTGAATAACTTTCATAATTTTTTTTTGTTATTCTAAAATAACCTATAAGCTATATAAATTAATTTCTTAAAAAGTTTCGATTTGACACAAACTTTGACATTCGCTAACATCATTCTTGCACATACATGTATATTACGTAAATAGACTTGAGGCATTATGAAATTGCATTACAAAGCGAATTATTAAACAATTTCCTTGTATTCAAATCAAATTACTAGCTTGTATGTTGAAAATAAAAAAAAATTAAAAATGTCAAATTCAAATGAGTGCCTCTTATGAAATATCAAAAATGACATTTATAACATGGTAAAAATTATTGACATGATTTATGTTTACAATTCAACAAACTACCTGTTTATTATCTTATTTTTGCTATCTGTCATCTTGCATTTATATATGCATATATCATGAGTAAACCTTATTCTCTTATATGTATATTCCAACATTCTATAATAAAATAGAGATAAAAACTAAAAAAGAACCTCCGAATTTTAGAAAAAAAAAATCAAAATAAAAACTGAAATAGAATCTTAATTATCATACTAAAACATAAAATAGGATAGTAAAGAATAAAGAATTCTATTTGACTTAAGAAAGAATATAAAAAAACATCATGTCATTTTTACTCTTCTTTAAGATTATTTCCCTAAAATTTAAAATTCCCTTTAAGGCCTGCATAAAATACATACAACAAATGCATAATATGCAAATTTTGTAACAAAATATAACATCTTTATGAATAGTCTACTTATTGAAATTTCCTTAAATTTATTAATAAGAATGCTTCCAAACTATAAAAAAAATTAATATTAAAACGAGAATAGATATAGTTATCCGTGTTAACTCCGTGATATCCGTACGAATAAATGATTTTATATTTCGGGGATAATTGACATACATTTCCTTATAATATCTCGCCTTTTGTGTCTAGTCATATTTTATACATAATATGATGTATATGGCAGTTACCATATAAACCTATGCAATCTCGAAGAACTTTACTGCAAATGTTGGCCACATTATCAGAATTCGACACTTATCAAAAACACATACTTGAGTCTATATCTCAGAGCATTATTTCTTCGTATTACAAACGGGAAGTCAATTTTATTATACCCTTCGAACAAAAAACACTCATAAAATGCAAATTAAATGCTTCGTTTATAAACGTAGGCGTCAACACATACATTAGCTATATTGTTTTCTTTCTTCTTCTTTTATGAAAATATTAAATTCGCCTAAATGTATGCAATTATTTTTATTACTTTTATTCTGATTCTCACAGTAAATTCTGAACTTGTCACATTTTATTCTCAGAAACTAAAAATACTATAGAAAAAATTCAACAATTTAGGCCATTTAGGGTGGTATGAATTCTCTTATGAATTTTTTCTACTTTTAGTTTTACTATATATATCAATAAAAACTGTTATACATTAAAAATAATTTGTATTTTTAAAATTATAATTAACTGTGCAATGACTGAAACCATTTTTTATTATTTCTTATTGTCAATTAGAATTTTAATAGAATTAAAATTTATTCTAAATTAGCAATATATGAACAATATTATACTAAATAATTTATGTGACTACATCGCAAAAAAAAAGTAATGAGCAGTCGGCTATCTTAAATAATTATAGTACAAAGATCAGGTAAATATATAATTTTCATTTTCAAATACTTAATGAATGGTAATAATGAATGTAATTTTACTAATTGCGTTTGCTAATGATAGTGTATGGAATTCCGGATAAAATTCTTTCAGCCCAGTTATATTTGTAAAAAAATAAATTGAAATAAATTCATTTGAAATTTTTTCCTCATTTTAATAGAATAAGGAACTTTCCTAACATCAGATTTTTAAATGAGAATTTCGAGAAATCAAAACAGAATACTTAGGGTTCAGGTTGACTTAAGGCAACTTTTGGTTTCGCAACTGTTTGATTGCTTATTTGTATTCCATAGGTTTATATCTAGGCGCACAAACAAGCAAATGCAATCAAAAAGTTTGTAATTTTTTACAAATTTAAACTTACACGCAGCGATTTTACAATCAAACAGTAATTGTAAAGCTGAAAATTGCATGTCTGACTGACTCCTTTATGAACTTGTAATGAAATTTTCATTATTTTATTCTCGCACTTTAAGAAAATTTTAATATTTTCATAAACAATTTGGCGAGCATAATATATATAAATCAGTTGCTCTATTCTTGCACTATTAACCCTATATAAATAAAACTTTAAAATACACCAGTTATGTAATTCACCCTAACATTCTTTAGTAAAATTCTTAACAATAACACATAATTGAAATGAAAATCCTATACGCTCTAGACTTATAATAACAAAAAAGAAAATCACTTACCTTCAAAACCATCGAAGAAACTGTATGGACTAATTGAAATTGGAACCAAGAATGGTGTATAAACTGGTTCAACATCTTCTACATTTCTTTGTGGATATGCAACTTCAACATTTTCAACGTCATCATTTGGATTATTAACTGAAATTGAAAATTTATAATTAATTATAAATAAATTAAAAATATTTTTATTACTAGACAATAAATTTTAAAATTCTTAGAATACGACAAGATGGGCACGAGTTTGGGTGCAATAATAATTAACAATTTTTTTACAAAATATATTTCTCAACATAGACAAAATGTATAAAAACTTACAAACTGAATATAACAATCAATATTCAGGGGTAATAAACTAAATGCTCGATCAAACTATGCAGTGATGTTGTAGCCAGTCACAAACTTTATTTGCAATTTGAGTGCAAAGAAAGTAAAAAATATAAACTAGCAGTGTGACGCATACCGTGCAGTTCCTTTTAAATTGTTTGTTTTGTATTTAATTGTAAAACGATTTTTGCATTTTAACCTGCTCAAATTAGTTTAATTTTTTTTTCTAAATAAAATAAATCAAACAAAACGAAAAAACTTAACGGTTATGAGATTCTTTAGTTTTGACATTAAAATATTTTAATGAATCTTTAAAATTGTATTTTTTTTTTAATTTTTAACGACATTTTCATTTAACAATTTTAACTTTTATTATTTGTAATTCCAACCTTGTAATCACATACATTCCAACATCATACAGAGAACTCATAACAGATTTTAAATAAAATGATGAGATCATAACCACAAAAAAAAATGTTTTACTCAAATCTCTAAAAAAAAAATCAAAAAAAATTATTTTTTTTATTATTATTTCGGTAATTAAAGGTTGTATAAAATGCGCGTAACAAAATTGTATATGTTATACATGTTCCCTCAAAACATTACAATATATACGCGAAATAATTATAAAAACATATATGTTTGTATATCAACTGATTGATGAAATTTTATAAAGATTTTTTTTTAATTTTTTAAAAATGTCGTCCAAAACAACGTAAATTTTTTTTTTAATATTCATGAATCACTAATTTAAGGATTTCGTCAAATCATTCAAACATATACGAACTAATATTTTTATCAAATGAACATTTAAACTCGAATCAAACATGTTCATATATAATTCAAACATGTACGAAGCATTATTTAAAAAAAATATGCTGATATGACCCAAACCCTAGGAAATAAACGTTTTAGTATGACACGCCAAATTAAATAAAACAAACTGGGATCGTCAAGATAAAACAAAAACAGATAGTACGAGTATACTGTTTCAATACTATATATTTAAAAAAAAAGGCAGCCTTTCACAAGCGCTATTTAATTATTGTGCCAATTCAAATCGATTGGATTAACTAAAAATTGCAATCAGTTTGTAAAAAATTACTAGCCGTTTGATTGCTTAATTGCATATGCGCTCATACAGTAACATGTAAGCAATCAAACAGTTGTAATACTAAAAATTGGATATCTACATGAGTTCTTATCTGATCGTGAAAACTTTAATAATTTGAAGCCGTGTAAAATGATTATATTTTTAAAACTACATTTCTATATTTTAGAATTCTCATTCATCCTCATTCCTCTACATCAGAAAGACTAGATCAAACATTAATGTTTCTTTCCCTAACATGTATGATGTCATCAAAATGACAATCACGAAAACTACAATAGCGTTTACTGTTAAATTTCTAATTTAAGGGAAATGGTTTATAAATCTTCAAAACCATATTAGAATTCTGAAAATTAACTTGAATTTACTGTATAAAATAATTTGAAATTTTTAACTTTTAACCAAATTAAAAAAAGGAAAAAAGAAAAAATAATAAAGAAGATTTAAAATAAAATCTGCGGATATCCCATAAACCATACAATTTAATCCGCTTCTGTTGATTTAATCATAAAGTACAATGGATATAAATACACATACATTATACATAAATACACAAAATTTAAGTAAACAAATCCCATGTGCACATTTAAACAAATAAAACATAAACACATATACACATCATATATCTACAAATGTATGTACGTATGTACATAAACGCTTATGTCAGCATATTTTAGACATAATAAACTTATTTAATTTTACAAAAATGTTGTGCAGCTTCATACATTCTACACCCATATAAACCTTAAATCTGTACTTACGTATTTACATATTCCGTATGTACGTTTGTACTTAAATAATTATTCATATTTATTTTATGTACCTACAAACATATTTTTTAGTAACATCAATGTAGGCATAATCACAGATATGTGTGTATGTCTATATATATTAACATTTTTATATTACATTTTTATTACTAAGTTCACCTTGTCATTATTCTTGTGTTTTCAACTTTTTTTATCCGTTATTATCAGCTGACTCATGAGATTCTTAAGAGTTAAAACGACAAATTTCTTTTTAAGTGGATTTAATACAAAAAAAACACAGAAAACACATAAGATAAACAGAGCTAAAAAAAGAAAGACAAGTCAAACCCCACAAGTAAAGTATAGTTAAAAAAACAAAATTTTGTAAAAATAAACATGAGAAAAAGCATATTTGAATGTGGGTATTTATATACACACACACGCATCAAAGAAAAATAACAATAAATATTAAGAGAAAAAAATGAGTCTGTTTTTCATCTCCATATCTCATCTCTTCTCATAAGCCTTATGTGATATACTTTTTTGCAATGTATGTACATACATATGTACATGCATTTGTATATAATTATTATATAATATTATGTATGTATACCGTATTGATGTACAAATAGTAAATACCCAAATACATTATACAATTATAGCAAATTAAAAGTAAAATATTGCTATTGAATAATAAGAAAACAAAAAATTCCAAAAAAATTTTGTACAGAATCAAATCATATACAATAATTATTTTATACAACCAAATCAGCTAGCCCATCATAGTTGATAACCAAACTCATGAGCCACCTGATGATTTCTGTTGTGTTTTGGTTATGTATTTATATGCGTATGCCGAAAAATACAAAAATATACGTATACGTTACTACTCTATTACGTATGACGAGTGACGACGACGACAATAAGGGAACAATATTAAAAAACAAGAAAAAAAATCATCTTAAAATAAAATCAAATTAGCATTAAATATAAGGATTTGAACAAAGTTAAATTGTTTAAACTATTTTTAGGTAACAGTGCATTTTTGTTTTTGTTTATCAGAAAGTGATTTGCTAATATTACAGTTCAATCAGTTAGTTTGGCTGTTGGCAAATTTGTATACAAAAAGTGCGAACACGTCAAAATTTTCTAATAAAACAGAAGATATAAGATTGTATTGACCCACATAAATGATTATGACCTTAATACGAGTAATAATTTTCCGTTTAGTATAATCCAACACATTTTACAGATTAATATTTTAAAGTTCCAAATAATTGCCAGCAACCCACATTATCCATTTATAAAATATTCTTTTGAGAGCATTATTCTTTAACAATTTAATTCGAATACCTTCTAATTTTTTTTAAAACAGCCAGCATTTTTGTGAAAAACATAAAAGACAAGAAATTATGTCAAAATTTAACAACAGTCAAAAATGTCTTAAAATTATTCTAAATCGTTTTAATGAAATATTTTTAAAATTTTTAAATATTTCGTTTTTTAATTTTAAGCCCCAGAATGAAAGAACAAGGTGAGCGTCATCCAAAATACACTTTTATACTCATATTCACATATTATTCAAAATATTATCTGCAATCGCGGGCATACATATATACATACGCCTGGACTTCTCACAAGTCAAATACATATTTAATCTTCGCTAAATAAAATATAATAAATACGAAATAAAAAATGAGCCACCGGCAGAGTCAAATCAATAAAATTTGAACATTTCCTCTCACAAAATAGTCTAAAAATATACAAGAGACAGAAAAAAATGAAAAATGTGACATAAAAGAAACCAAAAAGCAAAACAAAAAAAAAGTATTACCAAAAACATAAGCTAGAAAAAATGTTGTCATTAATAAAAATTTTCTTTATGATGACTTTGGAATACCTCGGAACTGATTTCGACTGATAATGATTCCAAAAACAGGCATTATTACTCAGGGGGAAGAACGATGATGATGTTTTTTACTTCAACTTTTGTTTTTTTTTTTGTTTGCTGGAGAAGAAAAATCTTTAAAGTTTTTTTTTTGTTTTGTTTTGCGGTATCGGCGCGTTTTTTTTATGACTTCTTCATTTTGTTTTTGTTTTACTTACAAAATTGTAAATATACTTTTTGGAACTTTTACTTAATTTCCAAAAATAGAATTATTATGAGTAAAAATTTTTTATCCTCTTTGGTTTTTGCTTTTATTTTACAATATAATAAACCCATAAAACGTTTCATATTTAAAAAACAAGCAAAATTTATTAAAGTTATTGTACGTAATTTAAAATTAATCGCTTTTATGCGAGAAAATAAAATATTTTACTTTAATATTTAATAAAATTAAAATGTATTTTCCCTTATGTCTTCAAAATTAAGATGATAAATTTAAAATTGTTCCATGATTTGCTCATATTTTTAAAGAAATAAATTGAAATTAGTTTTTCATTCTTTAATCAAATCTCACTTTCTCCCTCAAGGGGTGTGAAGAAAATGAATGAATACTAAGAATAAAATTCAGAAAAATTTGTATTAAGAGTTGCAATTACAAATTTAGTCAATTAAAACATCACATTTCTATAACTAAAAAAATTTATAGAAAAAATTGCAATTTGAAAGTGACCCTTTTTCTGATATAGAATGAGGCTATTAAATTAAACTGTAAAATAATCAATGAATTTTATGCATCAAACAATGTAAAAAATAAATAAGTAAATAAAATACTTTGTTAAATTCAATATGAATCACGTAACTTCTATTTACTCAATACAATATGAAACTTATATAATATGCTTATTGAATTAATTGTAATTTTATTCTAAATTAGTTATACGTGGAAATATTTACTGCAATTATTGTTAATTTTTCTCGCTTGTTTTGTTAAATAATATCATTTGAAATACAGTCTGAATGAAAAATATAGTATTGAATTTAAATTGCAAATAAACCTATTATAATC